TTACTTACTTATTTTATATACTATATATAGTATATATATATATATATATATATATATATATATATATATATATATATATATATATATATATATATATATGCGTGTGTGTATGTGTGTGTGTTTATTTGTGCACGTATAGGTTTAGGTATAGGTGTATTTCTATATGTATATATATATTGTGTATGTGTGGCTTCTTGTAAAGTCGGTGAGTGTACTGGGGTGTTTGATCTGCTATCTATCCTATGCGATGCATATAGTATCAGCTATGTTCACAGCATATCTGCTTTCGACTCCTTTACATTCCTACCACACATCCATTATTTTGCGGCAACATGCGTTTGCATATCAGTCAAGGCTTATTTCCCCCTCTCCCCATATATGTTTCTGGTGTATTTCCCAATACCATCGAACCAACAGCGCAACCCAAAAACAACCTGAAATGGATCAGCTGACGAGCATGATTCACAATGCCAGTCTGAGTAGAGACGAGCTGACCAAGACTGTTCGAGCTCTGCCTGTGTCGCCGTCCAATTCAGCCTCCTATTTCCGTCCCAATGTGGGATCGCTGGGTGAGTAAGTGTTTCTGCTGAACGCTTTTGAGATGTTTTGTATAGTGATAGAGACTATCTCAACCGGCGTAATGGACGTGTGTGTACTCTCTGAGTGTTGATGGGAGAGTCAGTGGTTCTGTGATGACAATATATCCTTCTCGACAGTTGTTTGGTGGATGCCGTGCCGCTACGTTTTCTGAACACGTAGTGGGTGTGATACATTGAGATACTATTTATATACTATTTATATGTTCAGACCAACCACATCGAAACAGTTGCGTTACGTAATGCGTGTATCGAATTGAATCAGATATGCTGGATACTTTTTACGGCAATGTCCGATATAGGCTTATTTGTTTTACGTATTCGGACAATACGTAAGGTTTGTGTATGCCCTGTGAGTTCAATCTTTAATGATCTTGATCTCCGCAGACACGCCACCCGCCGCCAACCTGCCCATTTCACCGTCGACTTCGTCTCTGTTCGCCAATACACCTGCACCCTTTGTGCAACCCCAGCCCCCACCACTGCAGCCCAGGGTATGTATAGTATATAGGACTAGATACACACATATATATAAATATATATATATATATATATGTGTGTGTGTGTGTGTATGTGTATGCGTATGTATATATATATATATATACGGATCAAATCAAGTCGCCACACGAGAATAGACCCTGGTGAAGCATATTTGTTGGTGCGCTTGTAACTCTACGCGTGTGTTTTATTTTATGTTTGTTTTTTCTTTGAATTATGAATCAAGGTGATCAAAGTGTTAAATCAAGGTAATTTTCGCAACGCAGGACTCTCTCCCTGGATCTGCTTCTCATGACACGCTTAACCGTAGAAATAGCAGCGGTATGAACAATACCGGGACGCCTAATGGTCCGGTACAAAACGGTATGCCGAGGGGAAGTCAGGCAGGGAACCCATCGACGTTTGGTCAACGACAGCACACACCTGTAGCCAATCAGAACTCAGCAACCGGAGGGGGTCTGAACGGGGCCTTTGCAGGCGCTAATACGCCGGTTAATGGGGGCGCATACCCCTACCAGAATGCACAGAATCAGCAGTATGGTGTGCAGCAAGCACCTGGTGCGCCATCTCAGCAAGCAGGTACGATTTAGCCGTCTTTGGGGTTTATAGATTGGAATTATAATTAGGGACGGTTTTCAGGGACGGTTTCTTTATTCTAAACCATCCATGAGCATGCAAAGTTGTCGGAAGTATGTTTGCCACTCATCTATGGGGGTTTTTTTTCTTAACTGTCCGAGTTTTTGCGTGTGTGTTGTAGTCCTTACTGACTGACTTGTGTTTGTATGTATGTATGTATGTATTATAATTAAGTAGATCATGCAACCTATTCACACTCGGATCCATTCATCACTGTTTAAAGTTGTGAACAAAAGGGGATAGTCATAGAACCCAATACCTTCCTGCACGATCTAATAATCTTTTTATTCGCACGCTTCGTGTGCCGTTGCTAGGTTTCAACCCGTCCATTGCGTCGGCCACACCTCAAGCTCCAGGTTTCCCCAAACCACAGAGTCCTGCCCCGGGCCCCGGACAGTATGGGCAAACACCGCAAAGGTATAGTCTGTTCACTCTGTAGTACTAATGCATCAGGACACTGTTGTATTGATTATAAGGACCACTTTACCGGTTCATAGCAAGCGTGCTGCTAGGTTTTGAAACAATAGACCTGTCCTTGTTGAAAAGCCAGGTCGCTGTGGAGCGCTAGTGTAGCTATATAGGCTTTACACCACTGTCGCACTAGTGATGCAAAATCTCACTCTGCATAGGTATGAATATATATTTATATATATATATCTTTATATTTATATATCTTTATATTTATATATCTTTATATTTATATTTATATATATATGTGTGTGTGTGTGTGTGTGTATGTATATATGTCTGTGTCTGTGTCTGTGTCTGTATCTGTGTGTCTGTGTGTCCGTCCATGTACGTATACATACACGCAAATATGAACATTCACTATACCGGATCTCTGACGACTATATATATTTCGCTTTCTCAGTACGTACGGTCAGCCGACAGCTCAGCCGCCACAAACACAGTACGGACAACCGTACCCCACACAGCGCACCGCCTCTCCGGGTCCGACACAGGGATACGGTCAACCGCCAGCATTCCCACAACCCGGCCAAGCACAGGTACGGCTATACTGTGGATAGGCACATGTCGTATATGGTACGGGTGTGGTTGCTCTCTCTGTACTTCTATGCAACATCTACAGCCCAGATCGTTGGCCGTGATAGGGCTCTCAAAACGGCTCTTTGCCTTGTGAATAATGCTCACAGGTGATTGGACAATACTTGTTTAGTTGGTATCGAATGCAATAGTATTGGCGAGGTCCTGGTTGTTGTACTGTTATATCTCGTCCGGAGACACTACAGCCTCTAACCTATTGGGAGGACGCAGGACAGACCATTTTTCGTATTATCCTGACTACCGAACAGGCGTGTGCTTTGTACATGTGTATGGCACTCGTAGAGAGTGTCGTCCCCAGTAGTTGTCCTTTCCAGTTACCGTCTGCAGTTGTGGCAATGCAATTGTTTCAGCCGTACTTCTCCACAGCCACACCCAGAAGTGATTGTTGTGTGTGTTGCGTATGTGTTGTGTGGCTGTGATAGGTCTGGGTGGAATATGTGGTGTTGTTGATGTGTTTGTAGTGTGTGTTGCGTTTGTGTTGTGTGGCTGTGATAGGTCTGGATGGTATATGTGGTGTTGTTGATGTGTTTGGTGTGTGTGTTGTGTATGTGTTTGGTGTGTGTGTTGTGTATGTGTTGTGTGGCTGTGTTAGGTCTGTCACCCGCATAAGAGGATGGTGGAGGGTCCCTCCCCGGGTTCCGGGGACCCGTCCTGTCCCTTCGGGGTTCCGTAGGGACCCTTATAATCTAATCTAATATATCCTACATCCCTCCTTCGGTACCCCACTCTAGTCTTGAAAAGAGGTGGTATATGTGGTGTTGTTGAGGTGCTTAGTGTGTTGTGTGGCTGTGATAGGTCTGGGTGGTATATGTAGTGTTGTTGATGTGTTTGTAGTGTGTGTTGCGTATGTGTTGTTCGGCTGTGATAGGTCTGGGTGGTATATGTGGTGTTGTTGATATGTCTGTTGTGTGTGTTGAGTATGTGCTGTGTGGTTGTGATAGGTCTGGGTGGTATATGTGGTGTTGTTGATGTGTTTGGTGTGTGTGTTGCGTATGTGTTGTGTGGCTGTGATAGGTCTGGGTGGTATATGTGGTGTTGTTTGTGCTGAGACCTATTTTCTGTAAGCATTGGGCCCCTAGATATTTGCCTTGCGTATTGGTGCTCGCTCATACTTACCAGTCTGTATCTTGACTCGAATATATGGACCGGATTTACAGTACTTAGCCTATCTAACGTTTGCTACCTATCTATACAGCCGCAAGCCTTTCCCGGCGCACTCAGAAAAGACTCGCCCTCGCAACAACTGGGCTATGGTATGCAACAATCCAGCCAGCCACAGCAGGGATACGGCATGCAGCAACCGCAGCAAGGGTGCGTGCGCATTACATTGTTTGTGAGTACGGACGTATTGTTTGTGTTTGTGTATAAGTTTTTATTTATATATTTCTTTTTTGCGTGTGGGGGGGGGGCAAGGGGGGGTTTAGCTCGTGAAGGAATATGGCCTATGACCGCCAACAACCGCAGTAAAAGGCCTGTGCTGCGCTAAAAGGTACTTGTCTGCATGCATGTATTGTTTGTTTGTCTATGTCTATGTCTATATGTCTGGGCGCATATGTGGGTGTTTCGGTTCATTCTCGTAGCAATCGCCGCAGTGGCAAGCTAGGCAACAACCGCAGCAAATGACGTGTGTGGGGGTTTGGGGCTTATGGGTGGTGCTAGATTCCCATTCTTGTATTTAATTTTTTTTTGTGTTTATGTTTTGCCTTTCAGATTACTTCGTACAAACACCTCAGCCTTCACTTAATACAGATACGGTGCCCCGCCAGGACAGTCGAATTACGGTCAAAACCAGCCCCAGCCCCAGCGCATGGGTGCAGGTGCTGAATATGGACAGAATCAGCCCCAAACTCAAGGTTATGGGGCACAACAGCCAGGTATTGCAGGCACAATACTGTCGTCAGCCTAGTTCATCAGTCATTGGGGGTAGTAGTAGCCTATCCTTATACGCGATAGTCCAGGCGTGCACTCTCTATGACGGCCAAATAAGAGAGTGGTGTGAGCATTATAGGAGTTAAACTTTAAGCTTAAGCTCGCCCCAGGAAAGTAGGGGCAGCATAATAGATAGTACGATAGTTCATCCCGTGCATTTGTACTATACTAACCCCGTTGTCCGTGTGAGATGACTCAGACCACGTGTTTACGGTTGTACACCCTATCGATAGCACACAAATGACTGCACACGTCAACTAAGCGTCTCAACTACATCTGTGCTTTGTCCTGCCCTGCGTGTTGTACGTAGGTATGGCTCCGGCCGGGATGCAAGGGGGATATCAATCAACACAGCAACAAACAACATCAGCCGGCAATCTATACCAGATGGGTGGCATGGTTCCCGATGTTGACGAGGATGGTCCTACGCCTCAGGTATGGGTGGTGCGGTGTTTGGGGTGCAAGGGATATATCAAGGTATCTACATGGGTGAATATGAGTGAATCCAGGTATGATCATGTGTTCCTGATGTATATCTATATCTATATCTGTATGTGTATGTGTATATATATGTATATGTAAATGTCGCGATAGGGTCAGTCTACTCCCTCAGGTGTGGGTGGCGCGGTGATGGAGTGCAAGGGATATATCAAGGTATCTACATGGGTGAATATGAGTGAATCCAGGTATGAGCATGTGTTCCTGATGTACATGTATATCTATATCTGTATGTGTATGTGTATGTATATGTATATGTCGCGATAGGGATAGTCTACTCCCTCAGGTATGGGTGGCGCGGTGATTGGGTGCAAGGGATATATCAAGGTATTCACGTGTGTGAGCATATGAATGGATCCATGTCTGAGCATATGTTCCCGATCTCGATGAGGACGACCCAATCCTGGTGATGGGAAATGTATTGGTTTTCTCTACATATGCAAATGCGTGCATTCTGTATACAGTATTTGGATAGTCGCGTGTACGTGAATGAAGATGTGCGGCTGGAGTGATTTGAATGTATACATATGACATGAATATATCTATGTGCATGTATACCTATTTCGTATGAATATATCTTATGTCCATGTGGACATATGACATATGACATGAATATATCTATGTCCAAATGTATACATGACATATGGGTATGTGTATCTCCGAGTATTTCTGTGCGTTCAATTAGCTTTTCCGAGTCAGGTAGATATAGAGGTATGTGGGAGACGGGCCACGGTTCTCGTATAGTGCATCGTTATAACGTTTATTCATACCCAAGTCAACTCGTTAAACACACTTGGGCAATTGCTTACAGCGTCCTTTGAACCTCCTCCCCCCCAAAAAAACACACACACACCCTATTCTGTTCGCCCTGCAGGAATACAAGCTCATGTACTCTTCTATTGTTTATAATGTACAACGTATTCGACAATACACACAGGTGCCCGAGCAGTACAAGCAGCGCAACTGTAGCCAGAAGTTCATGCGCTGCACCCTCTCGGCCGTGCCCAATAAGAAGAGTCTGTTGCAGAAGGCTAAGCTACCCTTTGGTATACACATCCATCCGTACACGGAGATGACGGCTGAGGAAATGCCTGTCGTGCAGGTATAGTGATGAACAGAATGTTTTATGTGTCACGGCTTCGTATGTTGTGGACAATGTATGTATGCATATACATGTTTATGTGTATATACATATATATATATATATATATATGTGTGTGTGTGTGTGTGTGTGTGTGTGTATGTGTTAATGTATGTATATATATATGTGTGTGTATGTGTTATGTATATGTATATATACCTTTTTATATTATTCACTTATCTCTTCCTGTGTGATATAATTTTATAATCATACCATTTAAACCTCCCGATCATAACCACCGTAAACAAATTAACAACCCTTTTTTTTTGTCCCATTCTTCTTTGGTCCAGTCCAACGTCATTGTCAGGTGCCGTTCGTGCCGCACCTACATCAACCCGTTTGTGGCCTTTTTGGACCAAGGGCGACGGTGGAGGTGCAATATCTGCATGCGCACAAACGATCTTCCACAGGGTATGCCGGGTGTCCCGTTTACGTATATGTGTCGTTAGGTGTGATTGTGGTTGTGGTTGTGGACTCAGTTTACGTATATGTGTCGTCAGGTGTGGTTGTGGTTGTGGACTCCGTTTACGTGTATGTGTCGTCAGGTGTGGCTGTGGTTGTGGACTCGGGGTGTTTGCGGGTCCGTATGTTCAATGTGATGTGTGTATCTATACTCGCCGGTGACCGTTAACGAGTCCGTCTAATGGTGTTTGGTTGAGTCTAGGTGTGAAACTAGTTTTGTGTGTGGTGCGTAGTATCGTCGTATCATATACGTGGAGGTATGTTTGTGAGATCATGGTTGTGTACACCGTTACTATACAAATACCAAGCTTTCCCGGACCAGGGATGACGGTAGAAGCCTATTATATGTCTTCCCACCAACCACCCGCCTAAGTATATACCCAACATAATTGAATATATATATATATATAGTGCGGTATAATGACCTCTATATAGAACTCAAAATAGTCGAGCGGAGAGTGAGAGAGAGTGAGAGAGACAAATTGTGCATAAAATATTGTACCTCGATCTTGTAAATATGGGGCTGGCGATGGTTGGGGCAATGTACTGCTAACCTGCATGCCTACTTATTACCCACACTCACTCACTCACACATACATACATACATACATACATACATATTAAACACTCGCTCATTAGGTCCCTATATATTCCTTGTCATAAAATCATATTGGCTATTCTTACACTCTCATGTGACTATCAACCACACTCATTTGTTAGTTTCACTATACACTCCTTATTCGAATGACTATTCTATCACTCGCTTATTAGGTCTCTATATATTCCTTATCATATTAGCTATTCTTACACTCTCATGTGACTATCAACCACAGATTTCGATTTCGACGCCAAGACTCGCCAACCGATCGACCGCATGCAGCGCCCAGAGATGAACCATGCCATTGTGGAGTACATTGCTCCTCAAGAGTATATGGTCCGACCCCCGCAACCAGGTATTGTAGATATATATGTGCTTCTACGAATCTATAGTTGTATGTATATACGTGTGTGTGTGTGCGTAAGAGTATATATGTATGTATGTGTGTTTGTGCATGTATGTATGTGTGTATGAATGAATGTATGTATAGATGTATAGATATATGTATATATATATGTGTGTGTGTGTGTATGTATGGATGTATGTATGTATGTATGTATATATATATATATATATATAAATCAGACTCAATCCATCCCCTCGTTATCCTAGTTCGTATTGGCACACGTAGATAGCGTGCTACCCGGCTTAACTTGGCACATCGACCAATTGTCAGAATGGCGCTTCTTTTTAGTTCAAGCCTCAATGTGACACAAACTGACCTATATCAATTTCTTCTTCATTCTTCTTCTCAGCCATACACATGCTATTGCTAACTGTGTCGCAGCATTCCGTACAATCCTCGGATGTTATATATCTTAGACCTATAGCAAGTTTTTCTTCGATGTATATACACAGCTGTACACATGGTACTGCTAGGTCTGTGGCAAAAGCCCATACAATCCTTCGCAGAAGTTCGTACAATGCTTGATGTTGCTTGTACTTGTCCTGAACCGTTGTATCTATATATTCATATGTGGTCATATCCCATCTTCCCACACAGCCGTGCACATGGTACTACTAGACGTATCCCAGAAATGCGTACAATCCTATTTGTTGCTTGTACTTGTCCTGAACCGTTGTATCTATGCACTCATATGTGATCATATCCACGTTGTATCTATGCACTCATGTGTGATCATATCCACGTTGTATCTATGCACTCATATGTGATCATATCCACGTTTGATCTTTGCACTCATATGTGGTCATATCCCATCTTCCCACACAGCCGTGCACATGGTACTACTAGACGTATCCCAGAAGTCTGTGCAGTCCGGCCTGGTGCACACGGTGGTCAACTCACTACGCGAGAACTTCCTCAACCTCCCCGGCGACGACCGGCGGATGTTCGGTCTCATCACATACGACAGCACGCTGCACTTCTACAAGCTCAACCACACCCTCTCTCAGCCACACATGTTTGTGGTGAGTGATGTGGATGAGGTGTTCATGCCATCGCCCACAGACTTGCTAGTCAATGTCAAGCAGAGTGCGGATATCATCACTAACTTGTTGGAGAGACTGCCGACTATGTTCACTGCCACGACGAATCAGAAGACCTGCCTGGGCCCGGCGTTGCAGGCTGCACAGAAGCTGGTGTCACCCACAGGTTGGTGTTTTATTTCTCTTGTATATGTATACATTTACGCATATGCGATTTTAAGCATACACATATATATATATATATATATATATATAAGTGTGTGTGATATATCTGTTAGAGTTACTGTCGGCGATGTTCATAGCAACCACCAATCAGAAGACCTGCCTGGGTCTGCACAGAAGCTGGTGTCACCCACCGGTCAGTTGTATCTCTCCGTGTAGGTAGACTTGTATCCATGTGTGATCACATTGAAGATACTTTTGTGTGATACCATTATATATAATGTGTGTGTGATGGCTTTATATATAATGCGTGTGTGATACCATGATATATAATATGTGTGTGATACCATTATATATGTGTCTGTGATACCATTACATATAAAGTGTCTGTGATACCATTACATATAAAGTGTCTGTGATACCATCATATATAATGTGTGTGCGATACCATTATATATTATACGTGTGATACCATTATATATACTGTGTGTGATACCATTATGTATATTCTCTGTGTGATACCATTGAATAATGTGTGTATGATATTATTATATATATACTGTGTGTGTTACCGTAATATATATACTGTGTGTGATACCATTATATATATGCTGTGTGTGATACCATTATATATATGCTGTGTGATACCATTATACATAAACTGTGTGTGATACCATTATATATATACTGTATGTGATACCATTATGTATATTGTGTGTGTGATACCATTATATATACACCTGAGTATGCGACTTGTCTCTCAGAGAGAAAGCCCGTGACATTGACGGCCACCGCCAACCACCACTCCTGTGTAAACCTCGCATGGCCGCCTGCTTAGAAGCGACTATTAACCATCTCCGTGAGTTGTATTCACTCGTGCTGATGGCTGTCTGTAGGCGCCCGTATCCTGCTATGTATATATATCTAGAGTTGACCACACCCACTTGCTATATCTATATATATGTGTTATTCAGATGTTGGTCGTCTTCGTCCCTGTCTGTTCCTGTGCTTTGGGTTGGCTTGTATCCAACCTCTGTGCTCTGTAGTCACTTAAGCCCCAAACCCCTAATAAAAACCCCCCAAAAAAACTCTAAACCCCAAAAAAAATTATCATCTGTGTGTGTAGGTGGTCGTATCATGGTGTTCCAGTGCGGTTTACCAACCGACGGCGTGGGCAAATGCGACAGACAAGAGAATGCCTCACTAAGGGGTTCTGCAAAGGTGTGTACTCAGAACACCTTGTGTTTCTACCTGCCATTCGTTTCCGCCTGGCGGCCGGTGGTATGATCCTCTTCCCTATGTATGTGCGATGTACAGAGGTTTGAGACTTGCTTGCAAATGTAGTGGAGGGTTTTTCACGGGTGTGTTTTCTGGTGATTGTAAAATTCTTTCTTACTCATGTATGTGCGATGTACAGAGGTTTAAGACTTGCTTTCAAATGTAGTGGAGGGTTTCGTACATGTGTGTTTTCTGGTGGCGGTATAATCCTCTCCTATATATGTGCAACACTCGATCTTCTGTACTCGCGATGATGTACAGAAGTGTTCGGGTTAAGGGTTTTGTGGTCAGTATTGGCTAGTGCAACCTGGGCTATAGCCTCTGATGTTCTGGTGTACGTGTTACATTTAACGATCATTGAGCTCTCGAAGCACACACGTGAGTAAAGGCCCCACTGTGTGTACAAACTCGTGCAAAACCTTTTCGTGTGCACATAAACCCCATTCTTTATATTTAATTTATCTTGTTTTGTCTGGGTCTGGGTCTGGGTCTGGGTGTACATGTGTGTATGTTTGTCCTTGCCTAAACCTCGTCGTGTACACATGACATCCTCTTTCTTTTCTTTTCTTTTCTTTTCTGCCCCGCTCCATTGTCTAACTAGTCGAGGTGAATGCCACAGTTGCTATCCCATTCCTTGATTTATTCACAGTTGCGATCCCATTCCTTCGTTTATTCACCGTTCCGTGTGCCGTTTTTATTTCAGGAATTCCAACAGTTGGAACCATCCAACGACTTCTACAAACGCTTAGCCGTGGAGTGTTCGCGTCAACAGATTGGCGTTGATACGTTTTTGTGCGGCTCGGGCTATCAGGATGTTTCCACCATTGCCTGTGTTTCCAAATTCAGCAGGTACTTATTCTAGCCGGTTGTGTACACTCGAATGTCAAATGTTTTCAAGCCAATTGCGTATACTCGAATGTCACATCAAACGTCTCAAATCTCATATCGAATGTCTCAAATCACATGTCGATTGTCTCAAATTTTATATCAAATATTTTCAAGCCTGTTGTGTATACTCGAATGCCATATAAAATGTCTCAAATATCTAACCAAATGTCCCCGATGCATAGTGTCAATGTGTGACAGTTTACTCAAGCAAATATTAACATCCAGTACTGGACTATCAGCCTATCTGGTGTCCGTGTCCGTGTGCATTTGTGTGCTTGGTGATGTACCTTATATTATTCATAGCATCAGTTATATGCCGCACTTTTGTATGAACTGCAACGCTCCGCGGATGGTACTACACCCGTACAGACCATACAGGCCGTACACCCACTGCAGACATACGCTCCCAGCAATTAAGCAAGACACGTACAGCTACCCCTGCACACCACCCATAGATACAGGTGTAGAATTCCATTCAAAGAAATCGATATACGTACCACCAGAAGTTCCCAACCTCGCACGCAATTCAGCTGCATATATATATATATATATATATATATATATAATAGAGCCTATTGACACCGATGTGGAACGGAACGAACTTGGCTAGACTGCGTAGACATGGCGTCTGGTGTCTCATGTACAAATACGTATACGTCTATATACACTCTTTCTTCGGTAACCACGTATCCACCTATAGATAAATACGTATTTCTCTACCAATACGTATGCTTCGTATATATTTAGAAGTACACTTGCACAGAATAATACATGCTGTGGGTATATATATACCACCTTGCATCTAGTCAGCATATACCTACACACACAGGTGTAACAGTCTGCTTCTGCTACACGGTACCCAGCCATGGCCAAAGGCTTTATTACAACCCTAAACCCCAAGGATTGCACATACAGCACGGATGCAAATATGTGCTACACACGCTCATATTACACTCTGATCTGCAGTGTTCATGCATGTCCTATATCTATCGTCATACATGCATATCTCCAGACGGGCGCACTCTCACGCACACTCACACTCACACTCTCTCACACTCATACTCACCTCACTCACTCTCTCTCTCTCACTCATACTCACCTCACTCACTCTCTCTCTCTCACTCATACTCACCTCACTCACTCTCTCTCTCTCACTCACGTCCACACTTGTATGCACACAGTGGTACCTGCTTCTACTACCCCGACTTCCACGCGGAACGGTATCCAGCCATGACCAAACGTTTACAACACGAACTGAAGCGTGTGCTCACTCGCCAGATGGGGCTCGAGGCTGTGATGCGAGTGCGTGCCTCTAGAGGACTGTCTGTTAACGCGTTTCACGGCAACTTCTTTGTGCGGTCGTCCGATCTGTTGGCGCTGCCGTATGTGTCGCCGGATAACGCATTTGCCATGCAAGTACAGTACGAGGATGATCTCAATGCAGGTATGGGCACGTGTGTGTGTGTGTTTTTTATATATATATATGAGTATGCAGGTATGTGTTTTAGTGTGTGATATATGTATATATAAGCATGTGTTTTAATATATGTCTATATAAGCATGTGTTTTAATATATGTCTATATAAGCATGTGTTTAATATATGTATAATATGTATGTACGTGTTGTAGCATATGTATATATAAGCACGTATTTTAATATATGCACATGTATGTATATGTTGTAGTATATGTATATATAAGCACGTGTTTTAATATATGTATATGTATGTATGTGTTGTAGTATATGTATATATAAGCACGTGTTTTAATATATGTATATGCATGTATATGTATATGTTGTAGTATATGTTGTAGTATATGTATATATAAGCATGTGTTTTAATTTATGTATGTGTGTGTAGTAAGTGTACCGTCGAGAGCGTTGCCTGTCCGTGCCTTCCGTATCAACGTCTTTGTGCGTTCTTCCGATCTGTTTGCCCTGCTATATGTATCGCCAGACAATGCCCTTTCCATACCAGTACAAAATGAAAACGACCTCAGTGCAGTTACATACGCCTGTATTTGTCACCACGCACTTTGACACGCGTGTGTGTGTGTGTGTATGTGTGTGTGTGTGTGTGTTATATATGTATGTATGTATGTATATATACATTGTCCACATAATAATTTATCCTTGCCTTCCATGGCAGCTGTCTCGTGCCTTCTCTGATTGATCGACCGTGTCTATTGTTATGTATCCCTGGGTTCTAAGGTCTAAGGTATCACAATAGTTCTAGGGTTTAGGGTTTTACAATGGTTCTAGGGTTTATGGTGCGACACTATCCCGCCATGCACGGGAGGAGAATTTGAGTACTGACGTGTGTACAAACATCACATCAAAGCTAATCCCTTTGTGACTTAAGGTTTATGCATCAGTTATATCAATCGGATATCTTATTCCATCATTGCTTACGCTACTTCATGATTGTTATTATATATAGCATGCACTCTATTGATTTCTTGCACCAATAGTACTCGTGCACACATCCTCGCATGACCATCGTGTTGTATTGGCACCTGCAGGAGCCTGTGTGTGTGCTCTAATCCGCACTACTCTACCCCAAAATGAGTCTATATATATATATATTTATATAACCACATGCCTGGCGAGAGACATATCCGTGTGCACGCCTTAGCATTGCGCTGTGTATACATATCATATGCGACTCGTCCGTATACGCTATACGGGGCGACCCACACTCAGGACGAGGGTGGGGCAGGGTGGTAGATAACCGAGCCAAGACATTGTAGCTGAGCTTATCATAGCCACCTGCTTGTTTGCATCTGCAGTGGCTCTGTGTGCGCTCTAGTCCGCATTACTGTACACCACCACGCACGACGACAGACGTGTGCGTGTGCACACCTTAGCACTGCCTCCTGCGCCATGTACATGTAAACTCACGTCATATCCCAACCATACACCAGTGCGGTACTTGTGCTTATACAATAACCAGACACCAATACAATACTTGTACATATACACTAACCATACATTATTACAATACTTGTACATATACACCAGCCGTACACCAATACAATATTTGCACGTATACACCAACCATACACCATTACAATACTTGTACATATACACCAACCATACACCAATACAATACTTGTCCATATACACCACATCTAACGCAATCCCCTCCCCCCCCTCCCTTCCCCCGACCCGACCCACTTGTTCGCATGTGCATCTACAGGGGCTCTGTGCGCGTTCCAATCCGCGCTACTGTATACCACCACACACGGTGAGAGACGTATCCGTGTGCACACCTTAGCACTGCCCATTGTGGACAACGTCAATGCCGTGTTCGCAGGAGCCGATCAGATGGCGCTGACTGGTCTGTTGGCGAAAATGGCTGTGGATAGAGCCTTGATCTCCAAGCTTACGGATGCCCGTGAGGCTATTGTGAATGTGCTGATTGATGCGTTGGGTAGGTGGTGTACCTGGTAAATCATACTCAAGTATCTCAGTGTGTATTTCCTTACAACTATCTGTATGTATGTATGTATATATATATATATATATGTGTGTGTGTATATATGTCTATATATATGTCTATATATATATATTTATATTTATATGTATATGTATTTATATATATATATATATATATGTATATATATAATTCTAATTTTAATTATATTCTATTCTATTATTTTATGTTGTATTATTTTTGTCTGTACATCTGTGTTTGTGTGTACGTATGCACCTATTCATAATTGTGTGTGTGTGTGTATGTATATGTATGCATGTATGTATGTATTTGTATAAAAATATATACACGTACATATGGTGTGCGTCCCTGTGCATGTGCGTCCCGCATATGTCGAAGTAGTAGGGTCGGCCAAATACTCGCCTTCAGCCTCGCCTACACGCATGTAGTATTCTGTAGCTCTTTCCATGTCTATGCTGGTTGTGTAGTATACATATACCTCTGTATTTTACATCGTTATATCAGTCTATGTTTAGGTAAAAGAACGTAGGAGTGTGTTTGTATGCCATTGGTGCATCATCCTCTCTTTCCCCACCGGAGTTTGTAAGCAGAGATATACTCAGCCTACCCTATCCCTTGCCGTCCAACTAATACTTAACTCCCACACTAACCGAACTAATACCGCGAACTAATTGCACACTACTTCCCACAGGCGGCTACAGAGCGGATATGCGCGGCGGCGCTCCAGGCTTCCCCGCCCCAGCCAACCTTATGGCTCTGCCCCAAATGTTATTGGGCGTACTCAAGCACCCAGGACTAAGACTTGGGGCTATAACCATGCTAGACCAACGGGCAGACGCACACAACCTCATCAAGACCCTTCCGCTCAGTAACTTGTGCCGTTTCTTTAGTCCCCGGCTTTATGCATTGCACCAGATGCCCGAGGATGCAGGCACTGTGGGAGCGAACGGACAGGTTCGTGTGCGGGTGTATGTATTTATGTTTGTGTGTGTGTGTATGTATGTATGTATTGTGTATCCTTTATGTATGTGTGTGTGTTTCACGTATAAATATATATATGTATATGTGTATGCGTATATGTGTATATATATGTATGTCTCCTTTATATGTGCACATATGAATACACGCACACTCCCTCCAATTCTCTCCTGTCAGTTTTGTGCCGCTTGTCAGTCCAAACATGTGCGTTGGCAGATAACAAAGCCCTATACAAATCCGTCGGAAGTCTTTTCCAAACCCCAAAACCCCTAAAACTCTATATACTCATACTCAGATTATACTGCCGCCCACCATTCCCCTGACCGCCGAGCGCTTGGAGCATAACGGAGTGTACCTTATTGAATCAGGGATCAACATGTTCATGTGGGTGACCAAGAATGCGGCACCCGAAGTGTTGTATGCGCTCTTTAATGTACAGCACTTCGACCACCTGCAACCACACCGCGGCACGCAGACCCACCTGGTACGTCTATTCATAGATCCTATAAGTATATATATATATATATATAAGTATGTGTGTGTGTGTGTGTGTGTGTGGTTGTATGCACACTTAAAAAGGTAGGTCTATTTATAGATTCTATAAACATATTTATATATATGTGTGTGAGTTTGAATGTGTGTGAGCTTGTTTGCACACTTAAAAGGTAGGTATATTTATAGATTATATATACATGTATGTGTGTGTGAGCGTATGCACGCTTAAAAGGTAGGTCTATTTATGGATACTATGTATATATATGTGTGTGTGTGTGTGTGAGCGTATGCACGCTTAAAAGTTAGGTCTATTTATAGATACTATGTATATATATATGTGTGTGTGTGTGTGTGGCATGTGTGGTTGTGCTACACATAGACTGGTTGCTGCGCTATATGTGTGCGATTGTGCCGCACATTACATCATTGCTGTTATAGTGAATAGATCGAGTCAACCCCCTGTTACGGCTTTAGTCCTAGCTGTTATGCTGAGACGGTGTAGGTTTCAATTGGGCCGCGCTCAATATCAACACGACGTTTCAGCTATACTATAAATAGCAATCCACGCTTGGTGTTATAATGCGACGATTAAGTTGTTCGTAGCTCGCACAGAGAAATGACCATCTCGGATTGTTAGCTATAGGGGTCTGATATAGTATACATTAGATATATAAACAATGCCAATGTACTGTTCAATTTGGACTATGTGTGACTATGAGAGTATAGTACGATGTATGTAGGTTTGAAAAATTATACCGTGTATGGCTATGAATAATATATATACGATCGAAAAATGCTACTATGTGTGACTATGAGTGTATAGTACAATATATATACGTTCGAAAACGTGTGCTATGTTCGACTATGAGGGTACATTACAAAATAAATGCATTTGAAAAATTGTACAAGTATGACTACGAGTGTATATTAAAATGTATATACGTTTGAAAACGTGTACTATGTACGACTATGAGTGTATAATACAATAAATATACGTTTGAAAAATTGTACAATGTATGACTACGAGTGTATATTAAAATGTATATACGTTTGAAAACGTGTACTATGTACGACTGAGTGTATAATACAATAAATATACGTTTGAAAAATTGTACAATGTATGACTACGAGTGTATATTAAAATGTATATACGTTTGAAAACGTGTACTATGTACGACTATGAGTGTATAATACAATAAATATACGTTTGACAAATTGTACAATGTATGACTACGAGTGTATATTAAAATGTATATACGTTTGAAAACGTGTACTATGTACGACTATGAGTGTATAATACAATAAATATACGTTTGAAAAATTGTACAATGTATGACTACGAGTGTATTATACAATGTATATACATTCGTCATTCTTTATAGAAGTCAGCGATGACCACCCCGCTTAAATCATGCCACTCTACTGCACCAGACGGGATTGTCTGTACTTGACAATGGCTACAGCAGGAGAGTCGGTTGTCGTTGATGTTATACGCACACGTTGCTAGCGCTATGCATAATTTCAGTACAAAGATACACGCACGTATTATACTCCATACAACCCCATACATATATGCTTTTATTATGTCTCATATTATACTAGATACAACCCCATACATGTATACTTACATTATATCTCATATTATACTAGATACAACCCCATACACGTATACTGATATTATATCTCATATTATACTAGATACAGCCCCATACATGTATACTTATTTTATATCTCATATTATACTAGATACAACCCTATACATGTATACTTATTTTATATCTCATATTATACTAGATACAACCCCATACACGTATACTTATATTATATTTCATATTATACTAGATACAACCTCATACATGTATATTTATTTTATATCTCATATTATCTTAGATACAACCCTATACATGTATACTTATATTATATCTCATATTATATTAGATGCAACCCCACACATGTATAATTATATCTACTGACACTCCTTTGCATCGTGCATGAGCAGACGGGACTGCCGGTAGTGGATAATCCTTACAACGAACGCGTGCACGCTATCATCGAACACCTACGCACACACTTCCTGTACTACCCCTTGATGGTTGTGGTGAAGGAGGATGACCCTCGTCTGCGCGCGCACTTCCTGGGAGTATGTATTCGACATTGTGTGTGTGCATGTGCAGGTTACAACAGTGTAGCTGTACGTCTTTCTATTAACTCGGGCTGTGGTTGCTTAGCTTGTGTTTGTTTTAGGATGTATTCGACATTGTGTGTGTGCATGTGGATGTTACAACAGTGTAGCTGTACGTCTTTCTGTTGACTCGGGCTGTGGTTGCTTAGCTTGTGTTTGTTTTAAGATGTATTCGATATTGTGTGTGTGCATGTGGATGTTACAACAGTGTAGCTGTACGCCTTTCTATTGACTCGGGCTGTGGCTGCTTAGTTTGTGTTTGTTGTCAACCACGTGCGTTTGTGTGCATGGTGTGTGGTTATACCACCAGTTTTCCGGTTTGCCCAGGAAGACGGTACCCGTCTACCGGTGCACTTCCTAGGAGTGTACTGGAGTCTCTGTGCACATGTGATGCCGCAACAACTGTGGCTCTAAATGTTTTTGTACTTCTTGGATAGTCTATTCAGTCGTGTTTAACCACTACGAAACTTTCACCTATTCGCTGAGGAGTGAAGACACGTTTTACAATTGGCACGGTGCCAAAGACTAGTCGTATTCGAACACGTGGTTTATCCTGCTCCTTTGCTAACACATCCATATTTCCCCTCTGTCTAAAACAGAGCCTGGTCATGGATCGGTCCGACCAAATGATGTCCTATATGGAGTTCTTGCAACACATCGAGAGCAAAATTTCTAAATAGAGCTGTTATTAGATGTCGTGCAGTGGTCTTCTACCCAAACCCCCCAAATAAAACTCAAGCTATTTGGTGCTGTCGGATATGCCTTTCGGATGTGACATTGCACAACGGGAAACGGGATGGATTTTAATTCTTTTCGTTTCATTTGCAATTAAGATGTTAAGCACGTCTTTCTAGAGTGCCCCTCTGTCTGTATGATAGAGTGAGTGCGAGCCTGCCGATATTTTTATAAACATGTGTGCATTTATAAACGTGTAGATATGCCTTCCTTCAAACTTTGAATTCATATACGCCTGTCTGCCATTCAAATCTGTATATGAATATATACTGTTTGTATACAAATTACATATTTCACCATACTTATATGTATTTATTATCTACCTCGGTATTCTAGGACAAATATTTTGTGTGCCTCAATTTTCAATATTGACCACAACTTCGTGCGAAGATGCTTGTTGTATATATATGAGACTATGGTATATGTCCTAGAATGCAGTATTCCCATTACAACTTCAGCAACACCCTCAAGTGTATCAATGAGTATAGCAAGTAGTATACTACACCTTGCATTAATTGTGCTTCGTATAGAGGGTTTGCTGGCGGCTCTATCATAATGTCATGTTATTGTTGATTCCATGATATAACAAACTAGTGAACCATGTAATGTTGGTCAGCAGAGCTCTGGTACTGCTGGTAACATCTTGTACACCGGGCTAGGTCCAAATGTACTGTTCATTGCAGACTGTTTTAGTTCAATTGTCATTGGCGATATCGGTACCTTCTGATAATCAGCGGAGCGATAGGTAGCACTCGTAGTCGAACCCAGTGTAAATGTATCCGTATTCCTGATTTGAAGAATTGGTTAACGATTCATATAGATATGATATTGTATGTGCATGACCTTTTGGCCTCTAGATGAGAGATGGGAATTTGGATCTAGAGAGGTCTGGTCGTATTCCGAACTGGAAATGACAATTGGAGGCTGTGTAATAGCACACTGCAGCAGACTGGTGTGTGAGATAGGGTTAGGATCACATAAACATGCCTGTGAAAAGCTTCCCATATGATATATATTAATTGTTAAGTCTTATATTTAATAGTCTGTTCCAGCTTTACTCCAGTAGAGAAGCTCTGGCCTCGATGTAATCCATATCTGTGAAATCATAACCTGCCCTAACTGGCAGGTAGAGTGTATCAGTCTTGTTTGTGGCGGATTCGATGTTGCCTGCACTGTCGTCAGCGAAGAGCGCATCATCCGGGAGAAAACCCATAGACTGGTATTCAAAAAAAGTTTTACGAGTGTCAAAATCATGTAGTCACGTATACATATTCATAGCATGACAAATTTGTCGCTAAAATTCACTACGTATTCATATTCATAGAATGACAAGTATGGCGTTAAATTGATCACGTATACATATTCATAGAACGACAAATATGGCGTTAAAATTGATCACGTATACATACTCATAGAATGACAAATATGGCGTTAAAATTATGGAGGCAACGTATACGGTTTATACGACGCGCACAATTCTCACCTCTAAAGTTTCCGCAGCAAAAGCGCCTTTGTCAGCGGAGATTCCAACTCCTGGGTCGTCTAATGACAGGATATGATCCATGTCAAAGCCCAGCTCGGCCATGTCGCTAAATTTGTGAATGTATTTGGCCCATTCAGTACCTGGAACTGGTTCCCATGAGGTAGAAAGTATGAAAAATTCTTTATCCGTGCTGCGCAATGTCTCGAGCATGTCTTGTACCCGGGCTAGTCGCTCCTCCCCACCCATGACCTCGGTGATATTGGCCATAGGCATATCATCCAGCATGCTAGCTAACTGTGAAGGGCACGAAAAGAAATTATATTGTTGAGGAAACGTGATCAATTTTTTCCCACTGGAAAAGTTGGAACATTATACCATATCTACACAAGGTGTATCAAATATGGCGGTTCTCTGGACATTTTCTGGCACGACAAATGCGTAACTAAAGATATCGACATTTTGCTCACCTCGCCTTCACTAGCACAGTTAGTCGTTGATTCTTCTTGGCATAATGTAAGCAGTTCTTCGCTGAAATCATTGTTTACGATTGTTGTTCCATCGAAGTCTAGAAATATAACCGACACGGGCTTTACAGCGTCCTTCAAATTACGGCTGGGAATACCAGCCATAGCGGATGGTGCAGCCAAAGCAAGTATTACACTTACAATGTACTTGACCATGTTGAATTTTATTTTACCGTGTAGTTGTGATGATCACTCTTACTGTGGATATATTTAGCGATGGAGCATCCTTAAATGTCTAATATGGACAATATCATACAGCACAGAACTATTTACAGAGTACAGCTGTATGTAAAACAAAACAAACCAAAATATTTACACATGGACATTACATACTAGATCCATCTTTTGTTTCTTTGTTTCTTTGTTTCTTTGTTTTTTTAAATCAAATATTTTTATTTTTTTAAACTAATTGTTTTTACTGAAAATTATAACAACAGTCATATATAAAGTTGACTCCAAACTCCAGACTCCCGAGTCCAGTGATCTGTGTTGAAAAAAATATGTGTAGAATAGCGGACCTGATAAGTTGTTATTAGTTTAAACTGTCAATTATCAGTGCTTAAAGAAGTGCTTTATCGTGGCGCCTGCTCAAGGCTTTTATAAATACTACATAAATAATAATTATATCTGTCATAACTCATGACTAATTCATGAACAGGGGAAACCCCTTGAAACCCCTATTTACATTTTTATGTTGTCCAATACACATCCGTATGATTTTACTATGCTTGCTGGTGACCCGGACAAACAGCCATTGTAACTGATATGTAAGTGAACACTGTTTTCTTACTTTTGATTAGAGTAAATCCGAACGATAGCCAGTAAAATGGCAAGTGCAGTGTTAACTGTCATGTGTAGCGTGTAGAGTTAGACTCGAGTCTAGACTGAATACTCATAGAGAGCATGTAGAGTCCTCGAAAACTACAGGGAGAGACTTTTGACGTTGAAACTTGATTGGGCGTGTGGCCCAATGTGAGTCGGTGTCACTGAATGGCCGTCCTCTCTTGGAGTGCTGGACTCCTGGGCCATGTGGCATCACCAGCAGTCCAGCAGTGAACGTGAGTATGACGTATGTAAATACTCTGCTTTGCCAACTTTATAAAATTCTGAGGAAATTATTGTTTTTGGAATTGTGGACTGTATTTCGAATAATTTCTTTTCCAGTATTCGATTAAACAAATTCTAGCCAGTCCAACAAATTCTGGCTGTAGGGCAGCCCAGAACTTCCCCAAAAAGTACATTTTCCAGTTGACAAACGCACGAGTCCGTTGAAATAGTGGGTAGTTGTCAATTCTATTTTTGTTTATCGTAAAACCCCATCCATTGGTTGGAATTAACAGCTAGAATCTGTTCATCAAGTATATTTACGTACATACATAAAAATGTGATATACTGTGATTTCAAAAGTGCGCGCTCAAAAAGCCGAGTAAATTTTAAAATAGAACAGTCTATTTCTCTTGTCAAAGTGTGTCTGACCCTCGTTTTCACTTATTAGAGGAAAATGCTGGATTTCGAATTTTGAGGAGAATTTCTTGGAGGTCCAGTCTTGTAATTTAAAGTTGCCAAACGGGACAATCTGAACGAATTTCATGTTTCAAATTGTCCTGAAAATTTTCCAGAATTTCAAATACGCTTCATAATTTCAGCACGAGGATATGAAATACACACTTTAGTTCCCGGAGTAAGGTATTTTACTCCATCTAAGAAATTATTTTCACAATTTCATAAAGTTGGCAAAACCGGCCTAAATAGTACTATGATATCATTTATATGTAGGCGTAGTGACATTGAAATGGCCAGAATCCAAATACATATGTACTGATTACTGAAATGCGGAAAGCCGGGAATCATGAAATGCGACATGCCGCCTGCCGGATTCCTAGACTGACAATTATAAGAGCTTAGAGGAAGTGCTTTATTGTGGTGCCTGCTCAAGGTATTTATACAACGAATTATTTCTGTCATGGCAAATTCATGAACAGGGTAAAAACCCATATTTTAGAAAATGAAACCCCCATTTACATTTTATGTTGTAGTTTATGTTGTCCAATACAAGCTCCGTATGGTTTTACTACTTGACCTCCATTGGTGACCCAGTAATACGGATGTACAGCCGTATTCGCCGGAGCAATTTCGTTCTACAACCAATAATGAAGTACACCATATAATTGTACATACATTGTAGAGTCAAATCAAAATGCCTGTGATATTTGTCAGGTGCTTTCTTGAGAAAAATGAGTACATCGACCTTGACCTTTCGTGTATACATAAATATTAAAATACCACATAGTATAAAATGTCACATTTTATGTCCTACGGACAACGTTAGTCCGTTCAGCCATTACTTTTTTTCTTATTATAAGTTGTAGGTCATGCATCACCATGATGATCGAAATTGGAGAATGGAGAATGGAGAGTTGGCTGTCAAAGTTTTAAAGTGTCAGACAATGATTAACACAGAATTCTGCCAAGCACTCGCGTGTATCAAATATGGTGGAGGAAACATGACTTAAACATCAGTAGAAGGATCGATAAAGTCATACATGATTAAATATGGTTCACTCAGTCGGACTAAGAAAGTAAACCTAAAGAGCTGAGTGGATGATGGGTAATAGATACAACAATTTTACTTGCGTAGGTCACTGGATCCAATCAACATTGGAGTGTGCCAGTGGGTCATTAGAAACATAAGATATTGAGTATTTTAGAACCCCTAACATCGAAAAAATTGTTACAAACTGTCGTAGAGGGGATAAATGACTGTCTGGATCGTTGTGTCAGAGGTATATGCGTGTAATGCGATCCAAGAAACGATAAGGAACGAAGACATTGAGCTATACATTGATGCAGAGATCACCCCCAGCTTGGTGTCAGAATATTGCGCAACACAACAACAGTTGAAAATCACACGCTACATAGGCTTTAATCACCAACATGGTAGTTTAATAAGCCGGGCCTCCACATTAGACTCTATGTATAAACGTACTCTTAATAGGGATATTATTATTTATTTCAAAAATGGCAAGTATGTATGATACAATGTATGAACATATCGTATGGCTCTCATAGTCGCTGTAGTGGTTCAGGAAAGATTGATGGGAAGAAGTGGTCAGTAAATTCCCGTTTGAAGCTTGGGCCAAGTGAGTCGACAATGGAAGATATGTGCTGAGTCAATTAGGGCCGGTGTTGACAAAACACTGTTACTATGGAATGTTCCATATATTCGCTTGCTGACCTACTAAGTAGAGTACCCACCTCTGTGGTACGGATCGGGTCTGCGCCGTGTAGTGCCGCGGAATGGGTTAGTGCAGAGTACGAAATACCGAGAAGGACCAGGTTATCCGTCATAACCCTGTCGATAAGCGAGGATGGGGGTAAGCGAATGCCGCAAAGACCACGGATGAATTCGGTATGTGTTGGCTGGCCTGGATCGAAAGTATCATAGTCGGAACCAACAAGCGCGATGATTTGGTTTGAACCTATATTT